GATGACGACGGTGCTGCTGGCGGTGGAGGGGCTGAATACTCTTCCTCTGAGTCTGTGCCATCATCTTCATCTTTCTCCTGGTCGCTTCCTTCAGTGCTGAGCCGGTCAAACCCCTTCCTGCTGTAGCCTTTGTGACTTGCAAAGAAGTTTCCAAGGTTAAGGCCACCACCACCCTTTCCTGTGGAATGCAAACACGTGCCATAAGCTTTGCTTTATTGCACAAAGTGAAAAAAAAATGTATTAACACGAGAACGGAGATTATTCTAAGTGTCCTTCTGCAAACTACTTAAAGTTTCAAAAGTTTTTTTTTAAACATCCACAGTTGGATTAGAAGCCTTTGCCCAAGCTGCCTGTGTTCCCACCGGTTTGCTTGTCTTCAGTTTGCCTGTAAGGCCAAAATTCACCATTTAATTTCCCAGACACTCAGATAACACCTCAGCTATTTGCCTCCCGCCAGCAGGGCCACATCCTCTCTGGTGGCAGATGTTCAGAGATGAAAGGTGGTTTCAAAGACGCGTCCTCATAGAGGAGCTGAATTTCTCTCTCTACTCCTCACTGAGAGGAAGTTCTATTCCCAGATCTCAAATCTCTCATTCAACTAGAAGCAAATACAGAAACAAACTCCAGTTGCTGGGTTGTTAAAGGCCCTAGAGTGTCACTTACCTCGAAGTCTGCCTAAAATTCTGCCTGAACTTGAATCAATTTTGTGTTCTGCATCAGCTGAAAAATAAAGGAGATTTCAGAAATAAGTTTTAAATCATAATATATGTTTAAATCATTAACTGTGTTTACTGATAAAAACCACAGACACTCAATAAATTGATCAGCACTTCTAAACAACAAAACTAACACTTTTCAGCTTCCCTGCTAGGGTGTAATTATGATTTCTAACCAAAAAAGCCAAAAATCGTACTATGAATGTTCACTTTATGCTGTTTCAGCCATTAAGAAGATTCCCAGATGAGTTATTTCTGAGAATGTCACTTTTTCAACAGTTCACATTTGTTACTCTGAAGATTTTATGGGGAGAACGAGAACCGATAAACAAAAGGATCCCTAAACAAAACCAAACCGAAAAACTCCCCCATCTTGGGAACTCTATTAGGAATATAAACTGCATGACCAAGCTGTTTCTTCGTTTGTTTGTTTTAAATATACTACTCAGTATCTGCAGGTCTGTGCAAGGAGTTTCCTTTTCCCAGTGTAACTGTATTATGCTCCTTCACACAGGAGGTTCAGGCGCTGAACCCTCAGGGGCCTCAGGTTCAGGCATGGATCCAACTGGAATGCAAAGATGTTATTTTGGGCCATTGCTATGGACTACTCTTCTGCTGTAGTTTAGAGTGGTAGCACCTGTGATGCTAAATGTATTTATTTTAACACAATGTGGCAGGAAGCTCCACACTGAAATGTTCAAATAAAACACATCAAGCTCAATTACTCAATAATACTGCAACGTTGAATTACCTCCTCTTTTATATTACATCCCAGCCTATGATATTGGCAGAACTAAGTTATCGGTGCATTCCATATCCCCCTTCTTCCCTGCTTGAGGATAACTTGATAAAGAGACTTATGTCACACAAAATAACAAGTGCAATGATCAAAGTGCTACTACAGCCTTTCAATTTCTCCAAAAGGCTATTGCATGATATGAATTAAAGACAACTTTACATACTTAGCACTGTTACTCTTAACTAAAGCTGTCACAGCAATGGATGGAGGCACCTAATAGGAACATGTTTGACTCACAAAACGCACAAGATGGTAGTGAACAGTAATTCCCTCAGACACGTTTACAGTTTGCCTTTTGCTTACACCCATCCATACAGTAGGGTCTTTGCTCTTCGTGGTTTAAAGACCCCAAAGGGAAGAAGTGTTGGCGTGGGATGATTTTTGTCATGCTCTAGATAACTATTCTCTCGAGTGACCCGGGGTTACCTCCACAGGCCGCTGCCTTCCTCCACCGAACGAAGGCGAGAATGGCCAGCAGGACCACGACAGGGATGATGAGCAGAGTCGTAATGAGAACGAAGGAAACCCCTGCACTGGCCTGGTGCACCAAATGCTGCTTCTCCTCCTTCTTGAGAGGCTCTGTTGATTGTGGGTTGTTTCCCAGTTTGGTTTCTATAATTGTTTCTGATTAAAAAAAATATTATTAAAAAAAAGAATCAATCAATAAGCAATCAAATGAATCAAGCAACACAAAGCAAGGCCTTAAGGAAAAGAACAGGCTAGGATACCTGAGGTCTTGAATAATAAGGAAACAAAAGACAAACATTTATGAGACAATTTTAATTCTTGCTGATGACATCTCCAAAGTAAGATAGAGTCTTCTTTACTTTCTAGAAAGGATGCCCTCTCCATTCCTCTGATGAGGAGCTATCATTTAAAACATGAGCAAATCCTTTAAAAAAAAATCTTGCAAATAGGCATATGATTTATTATCTATTAAATATCTCCATTTGATAATAATACTACCACAAGAAATTAAACAAAAAAATCCAGCATGCTATATTATCACAAAATAGAAAGCATTTATTGTTCTTTCAAATAAATTTGTGACAAAGGGCTAAACTTTCAAATGCCACATCCCATGAAAGACCTTTGGCTCTTGAAGTCCCAAGAGTTTTCACAAGCTGCATCGGGAGATCCCTGCCTGTTTTAACTTCAGTACCCTATGCAGTTTCAGAGATGGATAAGAAACTATTTGCAAATACCCCTGTGGTACCACTGCATTTGTCTGTGTAACAGCAGAAGCAGCAGGCGGCACGGCGGCTGCCTCAGGAAAGCTCAAACGCATCCACCTCTCCCCAGATCCATCATACCACTGATGCTGTAACACTTCTCTTCCGAGTGCTTCGGGAAGATGGATGCACCAATAGAGATGAAATAGAAGGCTAATAGTTTGGGCAATAGGAATTTACTGTTTATACTGTCAGCCTATTCTACTTTGCGCTTGCATTTGGCCATTTGGATCTTTTCATATATCTCTCTGTGTCCAAAGGCCTAATTCAATTCACAGAAGCTCTGAATTCAATCAAAGAAAACCAGTTAAGAACAATTTAACATTTTACAAAGGCCTCTCCATAGCCAGGTACTGCTGCTCTGAAAGGGAAATGAACATTTCCTTCTTCCATCCAGGAGACTGATGAGACAGAAGATTAATGGTTTAAAATAATTACTTTTCATCTCCCTGACTTATTATCTTACCCCTTTCAACCTCATCTATACATGCTTCTTATCTCCTCTGATTAAGTCCCAACATGTTTTTTGTTCTTTTTTTTTTTTTCATTTTTCAGGCAGATAAATTGGAGAGGAAAAAAAAGCAAATCTAAGGAGATAAATCTGAATATACAGAAGGCTATTTTTTGGTTAAGCAATGTAACTGGCAGGCCTGAAAGACCACGCACAGAGATGAACCAACTGCTGTTTTGAGAATACCTGCGGCAGGGAGGGCAGGAGGGAAGCGGCCCTGGGCAGTAACTATCGTGGTCACATTACAGTTATTTCTGCATCTAAGGGCGCTGACACAGATACCAATCTGGACACAGCAGATGGTGATACGGAAATGATGCACTGGCCAAACTCAAGGTTTAGGGTCTGGGAAGTGCTTGTCACCGATGGAAAATAAATGTTTGGACTGGCTGCAAAATCAGCGTCTACCAGGTAACGCTGTGACAAGAGGCCTTCTCTTGCCTCCTATGCTCTTTTTATCTCTAGTAACTGCATAAAATGATGGTGACAAACAGAACTAGCTAGTCAGCATTTTCCCCTCCAGAAGTTCTTAGCATGAGTGGTCAGAGCAAAATCATATTATCATAGCACAGTCACACAAAGTCACAGGGTAAAACAGAGGGTCCCTTCATGTCCATTATGTATCATACCAACCTTTCACTTCCTGCACCTCAATGCCAGCCTTTTTAACTGACCGATGCTCCACTTCTGTAAGACACAATTGATCTTCAGGACAACTGAAAACTTAAAAAACCACTCAGTGACATTTCCCTGCTAGCTTCCCCTGATGTACCACACAACCCCACAGGAAACAACTACGTTAGCACCTGAATGTCATCGAGGAGAATCAATATAAAGCATTCAACAGCTCACAACCCCATCATAAATAAATAAATATTTCTCATGCTAGAGAGAGCTTTTATGGGTATGCGTAAAGTCCTTTAAAAACCATACTCTTAATTGTAATCAGAAACATGTTGGACTAAAGCCTAGCTGATAAGGACTGCTTAGCTACTGCAGTTTTATACTGCAATATATGCTACAGAAGAAACTAATACACAGGACCCTCTCTGACCTGCAAGTGGTAAGTGAATCCAAATGGTAAGTATTTTTTGTGTCCTCGTATGTCTTTGAATAAAAGCCTGGAGTGTTCTTGTTCACGCTGCTATACGCAGAAAGAGACACATCCAGGCAGACTTACAGCTTATCTGGTCCAGTTTCCTTTTATCAACAGCAGCTGGTACCAGATGCCTCAAAGCAAAATCCATGAATTATAAACAGATAAATATGGAATAACTGGCTTAGCCAGAAGTTCATTTATAACAGCAGACTGTTCAGCTGGTTGACTAACGCTCTGAAGCCTGAGGCTTTCTCTCTCATACATTTTTTCCACCCTATATAACTTAACAGTGGATTATATTGTCATTGCTATGAAAGGTCTAATCCCTCTCTGAATCCTGCCACATTGATGTCTGATAATCAGGTTCCTCTCCTCGAAGCCAAGCTGCTTGGTTTGGGGGTTACTAGATTAAACTGGGAAGTATTTTCAATTAATGGGAATAGGACTACAAATTACACTGGATTCCTTTTCTAGTGGTAAATAATCCCAATGAGGTGAAGATCTATTTATGTTGACTGGTGGCTTTATTTCAGCCTCCAAGAATTTCCTATGTGACAACCCCTGCAGAAGCAGTGGGCTTGACAGCCAAAAATACAGTAAAAGAAATAAATGCAATCCTCACTTACAAGCTGAAGAGTCATGCTTTTGTTTAAGCATGTACCAGCAACATGATAAGGGATACTGTGAGGCAAGTGCCTTTTGATTCCTCCTTCTGTGAAAAATCAGTTTATGTGCCTAGGACTTCTTAACAGCATACACAGCAAAGTGGTCTTTCAAAAAAAAATCTGAGCTGCAACATACAACTTATGGCAGAACTCCCAGTATATGAAAATTATCATTAGGCCACCAAGCTTTTGACAGCATTTACTTATCCGGGGCTACAAAGTGTGCAGTTGGGACACTTGAGAACAAGAAGAACACACTTTCTGTGGATGTGAACTTCCACACTGTTCTGGCATGAACATCTCCAACAAACACTGTTTTATCTTCTGAAGCAACAACATCGTGTGGCATCTCAAAGCTCTGTAAGGATAAACAGGCACAGGTTACCTAAGCATCTATGCACTCACAGTCTGACAGAAAATAAAAAGGTTGGTTTAATGCTGAACTTGGACAGGTCCTTAGACCTGAAATCACAGGGGATCCTTGTGCCAAGGCCTAATATGAGCAAAGGGGAGCAACTTCCTACCTATCGTGCATGTTTGCTTTCTCTAGGGACATCCACACAGAGATTATTGGGTACACTCATGCTAAACAATTTATATTTATATTCTTGCAATCAATTTTATCCTCGGAAATAATCCACTTGAAAGCTAAACTTGCTAACAAAGATACATACTGCACACACAGATTATCAGCCATGGCCATGAACAGACTTCTAAGCTAACCGTAGCCTATCAATTAGAGATTATTTTTTGTAATGATATGGCTCTATCCCCACTATAGAACGATATTTTTTAAACTTTTAAGCAAGGGAAGCTATGCTAAGAGGCAGCATACAAACATGCCACCAGAAGAGCAGCTCTAATTATTGATATATGGCTGCTAAGCTATATCACTAATTCCCTATCAACTCAGCCTGAGACCGAGCTGTTCCTTTACCCACAGCAGCGTGCTGACGTTCAGTGGAAACACATCATTGCTTATAAATGCTCCAAATGGAGTAGGAGAACACAGGATCCTATTTCACAAGCTAGGATTTTAATGGATGAATTCCCGTAACTTACTACAGACAATGTATTAGACTCTTTAAGGCATGTTATAGACAACAGATCATGAGAAATATCAGTAATTATATTGACATATAGTTATTAGTCATAACCACAAAAGAGGTACAGACAAGTTTGTGACAAGAATATTTCCGGACCTTCATTTTTCACTTTAATTAGCTTTTAAGGACTGTCTGCCAGAAACCAAACAAAAACAAAAACAACAACAAAAAAAAAAGCCCCAACTTTTTCTGGATGACGGATTGTCTTGAGGCTTTAAGCATGTGGTATAGGTAGAATATAAGGCCCATAGTTCAAGGGTCTTTATCAAGTTCATACCATAAAGAATTCCTTTTGTATACTATTCTATACATTGTGAAACATCTCATTTCCCTAAGTGTCTTACAAGAGGAGAAGTAAGATGTCAGCAGCACCAATTGAATGCACAATGCAGTCTCTGCAATACTCTACCTTTCTAACGGGGCTGAAAGTATCAATTATTTCTCCAGTAGAGAAGTTCATCACAAATCCTTGCACTGGTTCCGTCTCTCCAGGATAAGGCATTCCATTAACTGCGAAGAGGAGACCACCTGCAACAACATCCACACTTACTTTTGCAACCCATACACTGCTCACTGCAGCTGGGAGCAAGTGTAATGGCACAGATGAAAGCAGCTGTCTCCAGTCAAGACCGTGAGTGCATCAGAGGCAACTCAACAGAAAACCCAAGCACTGCAGGAAAGCCAGACATGTAACTTGGGCTTTGAAGATATGGAAAGCTTGCCAAAACAACATGATGAAGGTCAGTCTTTGTGTTGACTTTATTGCTGAAGGTGTTGGGGAGACTTCCCTAGTCCATATATATATATTTTTTTTGTAGTAGAGCTGTCAGAGGAGCCATCTCAGTTTGAATACCGAAGGTATTAGATAATTTAGAGATTAACAGGACTAGATGGTGTTCACCTGAGTCCTGAAGGAACGTAAATAAGAAATTAGAGCCCAATTCCAAAGCAGAAATTACTTTGGTACTCTGCTGCTATCTACAGAAAGGACTAAAAGGGGTGCCTGGGAGGTAGAGAGCAATGATTCTGGTTTCCATCCGCAGGTAGATGGCAGAGTCCATAACAGAATAAGACTCCCGAGTACATGGATGAGCATCTCAGTATCAAATGTCTAACCTAATAATACAGTAATCCTTACTCAGATTTTGATAGGAAAAACAAAAATCAAAGAAAAATAAAAAACCCCACAGCTTTGAAAACTGTTTGCTTCCTTGATTGTTTGGGAGCCTTTTATTTTGTTCTGTTTAATGGAGCTTGAAATGAATATTTTAAAATGTTATTAACTAATTATTTGACTGTACAGTCACTGAAAAACAAAGTCTCACCTACTTGTGACATCATATTTAGTGAATCTAATTAATCATTTCTCAGGAGCAGATGTTATATTCTAAGCTTTTTTTTTTTTCCTCCTTCCCAAAATAATACAGTTCTAAAATTTTCCGTTACATCAGCACACCTTTGAAAGAGAATAAATATCTTGCCTAAGATGCACAATAGCACACTTAATGGAATAACACTATATATTGTGATACAGTGTCATTAAAAAAGCACTTGAAATCCAAAGAACATGAAAAGCAATTACCTGGCACATAGGAAACGGCAAACAATTCTCTTCCAAATGATTTGTGCTTGATCTCCCTTATGAACTGCCCACTCCCTAACTCGAAGCACTGGATGCGACCGTTCTCCCTGTCTGCAATGCAGAGCTGACTGAATTCAGGGATCAGGGCTAAGCTGTGAGGGATACGGAACTGCCCAGGTCTGGCTCCATCTGAAGAAGTGCCTGTAATGCGAGACACATAGATCTGTGTGAAGGTACACACTGAAACCTTCATCTCTGACTAGAAACCACCATATTCCACCTAATGCATAGGAAAAGAATGAACTCACTTGGTTTGCTTTCCCTCTGCCCCTTAACAGGTTTGTTCATTTAGGAAAGCTGTGCTGCTTTACCCTACTGTATTTGCAAAATCTGAATTTATGCATTAGCTATTTCTCTATAAAAACCTGGAGTAGCAGAAGGCTTAACATGTAAGTTCGGCAGAGTTAGGCAGAAACATGCCCAAGAACATGCCAACTAACTGCTTTGAAAAATCCGCTATTATTAGAGAATTCATAAATACCCACTTTGGCTAGCTGTACGAAGTGAGAGAATTAGAAGGCCAAAACTCGTTTGTGCCTTTGAAGATATAACTGCAATAGCTCCAAAGAAGAGAAATAACACTGACAAGCTCCTGGCTCGTGATGACACATGCTCCCAAGAGCGGCGATAGCAGTTCAGCACCACGAGCTCTAACTGTACCTTCACCCCACTGCTTGAGGAACAGCCCGCTCGCGGAGAACTGAACGATCCGGCTGTTGCAGTAGCCGTCAGAGACGTAGACGCTGCCGGTGACCGGATCCACAGCCACATCGGTTGGTTGACAGAAGTGATTTTTGTCACTGCCCGGTTGTAGCGCCGTTCCCAACATCAGTAATGGCTCTTTATCATCTGCTCTCAATTTGAAAACCTTTGTTTTAAGTCAATGGGAAAAGATAAGAGGTCTTAATTGCAGAAGATTATACATTAGAGGTATTGTTGCTCATGGAAAAACACATCAATTACTTGGTATAAAATAAATGTATTACCAAACATTACCTTAGTATATTGACTACGAAATATACTATCGACTTTACAGGAGAGGGAAATTTCTGCACAAAATAAAAATTTCCTGTGATTTCAATGCACGGTTTAGCTTTACATTCAAGGTATGGAAACTCAGGAATTGCCAAGCAGAGCTATAGCAGAATAATCTGTTCTTGTACAGAAGAGACACTGTTTTAAAAGATCAACTTTCATTTCTGCATATCCACATAACAAATCACTCCACACAACTATATGCCACTATGGCCCTGAGTTTCAAATTTTTCAGGTGTTTTCTTAATGTACTACAAATAGTACTAGCTAAATAACTGGTATCAGATCTGTAGGAAAATATAGACATTATCTTTGGCATAAGTTTTAAGGTCTTGGCAGTGAGGCTTCAGAAACATACCTGCTGGAGCGCTACATCAGTGACCCAGTAGTTACCATTTTGGTCTATACTCAAGCCATGTGGTAAATAAAATCTGTAATCACAAATATCAAGGAATCGAGTTAAAAACATTTTTCAGGAAGAACAATTTAAAAGAGCGTTTTCAAGATTTCACTTTTTAATCTACAGGCCACCAAATGGTCTACTTATTAATAACATATAGCCTTTAATGAAGAAATCAGCATTACAAGATAAGAAGTTTCTCAACAGGAGTTTCAGCTTTGGAATTCCCTCCATCTCAGGTACATTACCGGGACTAACACATGCTATCTTTAAGGGTGATATACACTGGCCACCACTGCTTTTCGTTAATCTGTTTCTGTTAATCTGGCTAGCAGATAAAATGACATGAACTGCTAGAAAGCTGAAGTGCTGAGGATGCCAAATGGGTGAGTCAGATATCCTGTTTTTTTATTTTTGGTGGGGGGAGAATGTTTTTTGGACTGAGCAAACTCAGAGGCTACAACCATGGAACATAACTTACAAACAAGAAAGGTCTGGAGACTCTCCAGAACATAAATAAATAAAAAAACATGTATATGTGTATGTGTCTAAATATATATACATATAAATGTAATTAGTTCTACTAATAACAGGAAAATAACTTACAGATTTTTGCCCATGGAATGAAGCAGTTGAGCGTTACTTGGATTCAGCACCAGAATGGTGTCCTGTTCAATTGGTCCAACTCCTTGTTGTTGATATACAAATTTGCTGTCAAAAGAGCTACACAGAAATATTGGAACACAAAGCTAGGGTTAGCAGGATCCACTGATGGACAATACACATAACTCAAACTTGAGTTTTCCAGACTAATTCTAGCCTTTTTTCTTGTTAAGTGAACTTATTATACTTTTGTGCCACTACGTAAGGGTTATACTGCTGGATGTCAAATCTTCCTGAAAGGTTATGACTTCTGAAACATCAAATCAACACGGCAACAATCAAGACAAACCTAACTTTCCTCTTATTAAAATGAAACAAACAAACATGGAGTTTGCTCTATCATGGTGTTTCCGACTCAGTGAAATAACATAGCCTAACCAAAAGCATAGATATTCATCGAGGCAAAACTGTCCGTATGAGTTGGTACACACTATCTGAGGTATTTGATTGCAACTAAAATGCTGGAAAACATGACATGCTCCCCCTTTCACTCCCAATTTTTAAAACCATTTCTTAGTCCCTCCAAAGAGAAATCCAACTCTGATTGATGCAAGATGATAAACAAGAATATACTTGTAATAGCAAAGGCCACAAACACAGCTTTTAAAGCTATCTTGTACAACCCTAGCAGCTTAACCTCTGCATTACATTAAATATTCATGTACTGAGAATATTCAATGTGGCAAAGCAATTCTGGCTTCATATATAACCAGCAAGATATATGAAGTGTTTAACTTTCTGTCGAGACTACAATTAAAAAGCAATGTTTAGACATTACCATTATATATAGTAACTACCTGCTGCTACCTACTTAGTTCCTGACTGAAAGCAATAAATCCTGTTTACTATGAATGGTTATGCACAAGGTGATAGCTACTTAAACTCTCCGCTAAGCCCTCCTAAAAACTGTTTGTCTTAATCCTATAAGGAGATGCAGGGTAAATAGTGCTGGCTCACACTAGCCTAGGGATGTTAAATTTGCTTATTTGACCATGGTTCTGCAGTTGTTTCATTCCTTAGCATCCCTGAGCGTAACTGCCTACGAAAAGGTCTCCTGGTGTTAAAACAACTTTACCAAAAAGAACCCTACTCGCCCAAATTCCTGGCTCAATTTCAGTAAGTGGAAGGGATCTAGGAATCTAATGCACTTAAGGACTTATTCTAGGAGTGGATGGCCACCACCAGAGGACCAGCACTGGGAAGACTATACTCATGTCTGGCCCCAGTGCAGAATTATCCTACGATGATGCTGTAACTTCATAAATGCTTGCAAAGAACGTGCTGTGGGGCCAGGAAATTTCTTCCAGCTCCTGCCTGATTTTCTGCCTTTTCTGCTTTCCACAGCAGCATGAGAGATACTTTTGCACATCCGATTTATCTTGGTTGAAAGTGTTTCAGTCTGTCCCACACTAATGGAGTCACTTAAGACAAAACGGAGAGAACAATTTATCCTCTCTAGCCTTGAGCTCTGTGCAAGATACGTGATATTATTAATCAGCAGAGCTAATCGCAGAAGAGAGTCTTACTGACTGAGCGGTCCTGCACAAGCTCCCCAGAAAACCCAATTGCATCTCTTTGGAGAAGGGACCATCTACATAGCTTAAAAATATAGGATATCTTCTTAATAACAGTCCTGTCCCTGTCCGAAGCATGCTCTGTCGACCACCATCTAGTTTTTTTCCTGAGAACTGAGTGCTTTCAGGATAAATATGCAACTGGGTAGTATTTGTAGTAAAGGAAACCTAGGGAGCTTGGACTGTAGTTTTGGGAGAGGTCTTTTGTGCACCTGCTCCCTAGGAAGTGCCCTTGTGCAGGGGTAGCATCTTTCCTCTCTCAAGAGCAGAGGACAACAAAACCACTGGCACTCTTTTCTCCCTAGAGTTTGAGGCCAATCTCCAACATAATCAATGTTCCTCTTTTTCAACCGATACAAGAGAAAACAAACCACACTGACTTCTGCTAGTTAAAAAAAGAGTCAGTAAAAGCTGAACAGCTCACTATTAAATACCACATGGTTCTGCTCTCAGCATCATTTTCGACGAGGTTTTGCACTCTGAAATCAGAGCACCTCTAAAATCCGCAGCGTACGTTACCACCTCTCATTTCCACCCTCAGCTTACTTCTTGTGTTATTCTTCCACCTTTCCAGCTGTTGGCTTGCCACCACGCACAACCTTTATGGGCTACATATTCAATTCAGATGGAGCACCTCATCTCCGACCTCTGGCAAGCACAACCCTGAGCTCTGTTCCTGACAGATACCCCCACCTCAACTCTCCTGTCTAGCCTTTGCTGTCTAAGAAGGCAATAGCAGCCTTCCAGGAATGCACTTGATATTCTTTATTATGCCTTTCATAGATTGCATAAATAACATGCATTTTTCATTTTCACCACAAAAAAACAGAAGAATTTTCAAGTAATTCACTGCTCAGCTGGCCGAATAATTCTCGTTTTTTACATTTTGAATAGCATGCGCCACATACTGCACAAAAGACTGTTCTGTAACTGAGGAGGCTGTGGGGTAAAGGAATCTGACTCATTTATTTATTTTTTTTCTTTAAAAAAAAATCCCTCACAGGAGGAATGTTAAAGCCACTGGAAAGCTGCTACTATATTAAAGGCCTCACATTGTATACCTATTTTTGCCTTCTCCAGCAAATTACAATTGCACTATAAAACAGCATAGACTGTTCACTCGGCTACATTTAGTTGAATAAAAATCTAGCTTTTATAGCACGTATTAATAATGCATTGGCAACATTTCTGCAGTGTCTAATAGCACAGATAATTTGTTTACTTATTTCTATACTGTGCTGGTGAAGCACCGAAACAGGAAAAATTCTGGGCCTTAGGGCTAGATTCATCACTTTTATGATTTGCTGAGGAATATTATATACTCAATTAATTGTGTATTTGCAAGCTAATAATAAACACCAACTTACAAGGCTGATATCTTCCTAAGCCTCCCCCAATCAAATGCAATAATGGCCCTCAAAAATAACAAATTCTTCTTCCCTTTTACTGAAAAACATGGAGATATACGCCTTCCTTTTCAGCATAACCCATGAAAAGGTCTCCAGCCTCTTTCGTACACCTATGTCAGAGCCAAAAATGAAACGGGAAGGTTTTGTTCGTCTGTAGCTTTTCCGCCCACTGCTTGTCAAAGTTTTGCGCTCTGGTCTGCAGGAACATCTCTATTGCCAGCCTCCCCAAGTGCACATTTAAAGTGAGGAATTACGACCACTGCCAGTCTATTTTCAAACATTTTTGATTCAGTTCTGTCTTCAATGACACATAGAACGGCATTTATACTCTCAAGTAGGAGGATGAAAAGAACCAAATCAATACCAGCTTTCACCTGAAGTCTGAGTAATGCAAGTTGCAACATGCGTCATCCTTTCAAAATTGTGCAGTCTATATTTGTGTACACTTGAGCTGCAGAGATGGCTGATATAATGCGCAAAAGAGACGTAAGTGACTGCCTTATCTCTTACATTACGCTACTTATCAACCCCCTCAAATCCAACCAAACAACAAGACATTACCATAAAGCAGTACTCTAAGCATCCCGTGTCACTATAAATTTGAGAAAACTGCTCTATTTTTTTCAGAAGTTGCTTCATGAATTAAATAAATTAAGATTAAAAAAAAGAGAAGTCGATAAGAACACAAAAAAGCATATTTAAGCCACATCATATTCTTTTATAAGCAAAGATTATTACCCCCTTGTGTTCTGTTATAGTTTCATGGCATTTTTCCCCCAAAAAAATGTCCATTCGAAAGTACGACATACTGTTTTCAAGTTCACAGATAAAAGGTACCATAATCCCGAAAAATCATACTTATTCGGAATCTTTTATTTTTAAGATAATGTACATTTGGGTCAAAAACATTTGTCAGAAACACTGCAGAAATCTTCATTTTAAGTCTAGACTTTTCTTTGAGATACTAAATGCTGTGTCATCAACTGAATAGATCAAAGCCTTTTTCAAGTAAGTGCGCTGTAACATCCCAGTTCTGTTGAGAGGTCATAAATGCAAGAAAAAACAAACTATACCAGAGCTACCTTTGCATATTGCAAGCTCACGTCCTTATAGTAGTATATTATACTAAACCATTATTCTCCCAGACTAATTAGCCCTGCTGAAAGTTACAGAGAAGCAGGGGTAATTAATGTAGGTGAAGATCAGGTTCACATTGTTCTACATTTTTGGGACCTAATGTACTACCTTTTCTCTGCAGACTCATTCTTGCTGTCTGAAGACCTGGCAACCCCACAGTCCTGAAATGGCCGGTCATCCCTATGAATTTCCCAAAGAAACTTTTAGGCTAAGTGCAGATAAATCTCGACCTGGACAGGAAAGGAGCTGCAATCCTGATACCCTTTGTAGCGTGCACCAGTCCCATCTTCCAACATGCCACTCTGCCAAATGTCTACTCACTTTTCATCCCAGACATGATCACCTCTGTGGAAGACAACAAGGTTATTTTCATGGTCCAGGGCCAACCCAGAAACTTGGCCCAGCTTGAGGTCTAAGCCAGGCCAGTCCACCACCTCTTCTATGTGGAAATCTATCAGAGAAAGAAAGAACAAAACAAAACAAGACACATTCATGTATTTTATTTACATAAAAATAGAAAACTGGTTAACTGGCTTTGGGTGCAAAGGTTGTTGGAGGCCACATGAACATTTTCTTACATGCACTACTTCTATCAATGCATTGCAGTTTGATTCCAGGCATTATTTTAATCACAATAAATCACATCTCATGCACAAGCACTGGCATCCCAATATGCATGTGGAGACAGAAACTGCAAAACCACTTTTGGCACTGTTTTTTCCCCCATCTCATCAGCATACAGGTGCACAGATATTAGATGACCTAGGAATGCTTTCTCTAGTGAAAGACCATAGAAACATACAATTACCAGTCAAAATCAGCAGGCAATTTTATATATTTCTATTATTAACCTAAAATAATGTATTCTAAACCATGGATCACCAAAGCCCCTAAATATCAGAAGGGGTTGACTCAGGTTGATTCACTAAAATAAATAAATAAATAGGTGAGAAGAAAAAAGAAAAAAAAAAAAAGCAATTGTTAACACAAAGAAGAAAAACAACTCAGGAAATCCTGCAAGAAAAAAATTTAAACAGCATTAGCTCTGCCTAAGATTTTATCCTAAGCCAAGTAATATTATGTCCATAAAAAGGTAAGAGATGTCTAAAGAAGAGATCAAGAAGGGTAGAACATCTGCTATTCTTATGTTTTAGCTCACTGTTTTTAAAAACACATATTGAGTAGTTTTTGAATAACACGTATCTGGTCTTTTACACTATGTATCAAAAGCACAGTGGGTCACTTACTAAATGCCATTAAAAGGGTGGACACTTTTTGTGCATAGAGTTCTTAAATCTTAATGTCCCTTGAGAAGAGGAGAAAGAAACATAAGGGGGAAAAAATCACAAACCTTTCTGTTTTTTCCACAGTGGGTTCAGTATTTTTTATTCTTTACCTCTGGGGAAGAATGCTCTTCCCCAGAAAACCCTTTCAGAAGGTCCTCTGAAGCCAGGCAGCTCACAGAAGTTAAGACTAGCACCCAAGTGGTTTGAGGGGGCTCAGTTTGGGGTGACTTTCTAAGCAGAGGAAAAATGCAAAGGGACACGACCTCCCCCCAAACCTGCAGGTTGCAGCGTGCAGCCTGACTGCTGGGATAACCGGCAGCCCCGGGAGACCATCCTGGGAGGGAGGCAGAACACTGAAAACCTACCACAAACTAGAAGATACATTTCACTCATGTAGCTTCGGATACCACAGGTAGGGCAGGTGCTGGAGAAACTCCTTCGCTAACAAAAAAAACCTAAAAATCAGCATCTGTATTGAATATGAGGCAGTTATCAGAAACACCCAGAAGAAACTCTTCTGTACAGTGATTTTAGCAAAAGCTCCAAGCTAAAAAAATCATTAAGAAAACAGACAAACAAACAAAAAAATCATACATCTTCATCAAACCTCCAGTACTTGTGCACAGTTCAGTTGGTAATGGCAGGTGCAATAGCTGGTGCAGGCATAGATGGTAGGAGTTTTGAAAGATACAAAAAGGCTGGAAAATTAGAGCCTGCATGGTAGCTGCTCATCCAAAAAGGAGTCTGAGCTACCCTGCAAAAAGCTTGTGTGCATTTATGCTGCAATGCTCTTCAGGCTCCTCAATCTTTGAGCCTCTCCCAAAAGAAAATGGAGGGAGGGAAAAAAAAGCATTACATATGGAAAGTCAAAATTTTGGCCTTTGCAAAATGGTGTTTTCCAGAAGGCACTCATAACAAAACACAAAATTATTGTAGAAGTATATTGAGAAGATCAGGAAACACACATATATGGAATAAATAGAAATACCATTCCGCATTAAAATGATTCCCTATCATTTTGCCTCTCTCTCCCCGCCCCTTTCTTTCCCCCCCTCTTTCTTTCCCTCTCTCTCTCCCTCTCTCTTTCTCTCTCCCCCTCTCTCTCTCTCCCTCTCTCTTTCTCTCTCCCCCTCTCTCTCTCTCCCTCTCTCTTTCTCTCTCCCCCTCTCTCTCTCTCCCTCTCTCTTTCTCTCTCCCCCTCTCTCTCTCTCCCTCTCTCTTTCTCTCTCCCCCTCTCTCTCTCTCCCTCTCCCTCCCTCTCCCTCTTTCACTCTTGGTTGTTAATGAGATCTCTAAATCAAGAACCAGGTCTTCCATATTGCAATTTAAAGTAATTCATTTGATTCAATAAAACTACATAGATTTAGCATGTGAAAATCAGCCTCTAAGTAATCTACAAGTTAAAAAATAGACCCTCTGTTTACTGGTAAAATTACAATTTACTGCCCATAAATCTCAGCAAGCTCTTTTTAGCTCTTGACTTTACAAACTTCATTCATGCTGCGTTTATGCACTCCAGTCAGAGGAGTCATTTAAATCTTGACTAATGGAAGCAAGCACTGCACAAAGGAGTTTTAGAAGTGGAAAAAAAAAAACCTACACTATTTGCTGTAATTAAAAGGCATAATTCCATCAATTTCATAAATGCTGAAAAATAGAACGATCGATTAGTGGCAAGTTATAATAAAAAGCACTGCAGTAAAAAAAGGAATAGAAGATTATAAGCATAAGATTACCATCCTTACTTAATATAGTGGTCGCTTGTTATTTCAGGCTATTACATGAGAAAAATTGTGATATTTAGAAGAACGGAGAGTTTTTAGTTTAGAGTATTTTAAAAATAGCTTTAATTCTAGCAAGTTTTTCAACACTTAAATGAAATGAATGCCTAATAGAAACTAGGATCTGGTCTTCAAAGACATTCATAAATCTTTTAAGATCTTGGTAACAAGAACTGGTATCTAGCCTATGAACTTGATGAGCAAAGACTGTGCGTGCAACCTTAGGAGATGAGGTGTTTATGTGTATATATATGTGCGGAGATATATATATTATATATATATATGTGTGTGTGTGTGTAAATACACACACTTTTTTAATTATATATATTTAAACAAGTTAAAACAACTCAACACTTCTTCCTCTAGGATGAGGAGGATCTGTTAGAGAAACTAAGTTCTGTTCTAGTATGGAAATACTTCCCAAACTAGACACTAAACATGCACTAAAAGATTTTATTGCTATAGCAATCCTGTTATCAAAAGATGGCGCTGACAGCTTCTGCAATTATGAATTCCTATAATGTTAGCAACACTACAAAAATTAAAAACTGAAAAAAAAGTGTCAGTACTAAATATTTAAGATTATTCCAATTTTGCTTTTTGACACAATACAAAAAAAAATTCTGCTAACAGTAACACTAACTGTTCTTTCCTGCAGTCAGGACTGGTGCCATATTGCGTGCCAGTCAAGCCATTTATTCAGCTCACTGAATAAAACAGAAAGGCAGTTTCTATCTCCCTTCTCCTCTCTCCTCATCACATTTTTCAGGCTGAACTCAAGAAACGGGCTTTGCAGAAGTGCATACAGACATTACTCTTCCAAGCATGTGAGTAATGCCAGCCGCTCATGGAGTTATATTTATGATTTGCACTTACGTCAGGCACATGACAACTCTCACTTGCTTCTCCCCTCTATGCCAGTCACTTGGCAGGCTCTCATTTAAACCGAGCGCCATGGGATAACATTGCAAAGTCTTCCTCTTTGGTCTCTTATTAAACACAAATTAAATATTTTGCTGTACTTGAATGCTGTAACAGAATCTCAGAGGTAAGCAGAGATCCTCCAGGTTAGTATTTGCAACCAAAATAAAAATCAGATGGATGAGGAATGATGTATACCTCTTGCACAGCCCTTGAAAACATCAAGCAACATAAAAGCAAGCACGTGTACAGCTCCCACATAGCGACGGCTGCCATGCACGCGTGTCACCTTCGCGTACGGGATGCTCCACACATGCTGTAGTACCCGGCTTTCCACATTAGCGAGGAAGACTAAGCACAATCAGCAGCACAGAGAGCAAAAGGCAAGGAAACACACACACCACTTCCATGGCTTTTGCTGTCATAGAAACCTGAAGGGAACGGATCATGATCCTGGTATAATAAAAGGGCCATGCCTTGAATATTAGGCTAGCCAATATCAACAAAATAATAATTCTGAAGAATATTTCAGGATTTACCACACTTCCTAGATGACAGAAAAACAGCCCTAGGATTAAGAATATAATTTTTGTAAGATTTGTTATCTGACAAACCGAGTCATCAGAAAACAACTTATAAAGATTATCCCAGTGAGTCATTTCATAGTAGTTAGTTACTTAAGAAAACACCTCCCTTTCTGTTACAACTATATCCTTTATTCACCTGGGTTGAGCAAAATTGATATCAAATTGCGAATGTTGACAGTGGAAAAAAAATCCTCCACATTCCAAAAAGCACGAGGATTGTCCCATCTGTACACATTCTTTCTTCATAAAAAGGAAGAAAAAACTCCCATTAAAATAGCTCTAAAATAAAGGGAGACAATTTTTATAAGTAGGAAGACACATGTAAAATACTTTCCAATGCCAATTTGTATTCCCTTCAGATCTTGCTAATGTGAATCACAGCTCTCACACTGAATGTCATTATTTCAGCTGCTAACCCACCTCCCGTATGTTCTTTGTCCCAGCTCCCCTCACCACGTGTAGGTTGTTGCAAAGAGAAATGTCTGTTCTCTGGTGGCCTCAAGGTGGATTCTAGTCTGTGAAATTTGTGAATTCTGTCTCTGACAAGAACAGCATTGTCCCTCTCATCGACATTTGTGACCTCTCTGGCAAGATCCTTCTTTTGGACTACATTAGCAATCTCGGCTACCAGATCCGAGTCTGCCTTTTCTGTAGGGTTATACTTATGCACATGAACAACATCTTCCCTCTCGCCTAGCAGCTTGGAAAGGAGTGAATAGAAATCACCTGCACAGAAAAGAGAAAAGATGAGAGGGGGAAGAAATGAAAACAGTTAGATTGCAGTTTTCTAAAATTTCAGCAAAGTCTAGCGTGATAATGTTATTCAAACAGTCACAGTCAGATGCAGTATAAAAGGGAACTGCTCCACAAACCTTCTTCACCTTAGATTTACATACAAACGTCCACTTCTATTAGACATTTTGCCATCTAAAAAATCGCATCCCAGCCCAGATATTCTTGCAGGGTGAGGGGGAGGAGGATGCAAACACCCAACAACTGGATACTTTCTGAAAGCAATATTTATAATGAGATTAATCTGGATTATCAGACTACTGCAGTTTTTTTTTTATATGTATACACATATGTATACGTATACACATACACATATATGTATACGCAAAGGGATAAAAACTCTACAGTTTCATCAGCTTATGCATTAATAAAACAAAGCAGCAGCCACACACTAGAAAATAAATTTATTTGAAATTTGTCATCACACAAGAAGCTTGGGCTGTAAAAAAAATCCTCACACTTGCAAATAAGACTCCATACAACAGGCTGCAAAAAGATGACTGTTAAACACCACATCAGTCTATTATATTTGAAGTTCATGAAACTGCTGCAGAACCACTTCCTTCTTCTAAAGAAATTAGTAATAGCCCTCAGTCATAGCATCAGGTGGGAATGAAGGGATTAAGGTTTTCAGTACCTCTCAACCCTCCCAAAATTAAATCACACAAAATCCACAAGTCCTACTTTCTTGACAAAAACATTCAGACTCTCTGAACTGGTTTTCATTAGATTAGTTTTCCTTTAATCCTAGAAAAAGGATTTCAGTGGTAACAATTATATTGTCTACTAACCAGCAGGTATCCAGCTTGTCTGAACTGATTAACCAAGCATCTCTGCTGCCTTAAAATATACCAGTTCTTTTAGAGCCAACCTCAGCTACACTATCTGAATGGAGACATTCAACATGCACTTGTAGCTCATTTAACTATACTTCTATTTCATTTTAACTACAAATTACTGATAATTAAGAATTTGTGTTAGTGCATTGTATTGTGAAGAGTAATAGAAGAGCAGTCCTGATAGAGAAGTAAAACTGGAAGCTTTCACAAACCAAAACAAAGCCAAGCCACCACTAGCAGCTCAGAACAGAGGAAATTATGTCTTCTGAAAATGACCTAAAGAGATTCTGTCATGTTTATAAACAGTCCTAATTCAATGACTTTTGGCTAGGCTTCCACTCCTTGCCCTTGAAAAATGAAATCTCCCAGGTGAAAACTTCTGACAGAAAATAATTACAGAAGTAATAGGACCAATTTCAATGAAATGAACAATGAAAATTAGATCAGAGAAAAACTTGTTAATCTGGCATGCTCCGTAATCATCCTACTGCCACTCAACTAGTCCAGCTGCTGATTCAGAACAAACCCATACATTCAAAAAGGATGATACAACAGATGTTTTGGATGCAACCATATTTATTCTGGGTTGTCTAGTTTCTACTCGAAGCAGCCAGGAATTGGCACTGATGTCGAAACATATTTGGAATTTCCTTTACCTAGAGAACCACAGTGAGAACTAAAGTGGTCCTCACGGGCCTTAGCTGTATTTTTGAGCCACGCATTTGCCCAACAGTTCCGTACGCTTGTGCAAACAGGAAGCCGAAGTCCTCTGCCAACTTCTTGGCGTGACAGCGCTACTCACAGTAGTTGCAAAGCAGAAAGAACGGGTGTGGATCCAAAAAGGGGAAATAGTTGTCTTGAAAACTTCTGGTAACTGAACGTAACTAACTGCTCCCTAAATTCTACACACCTAAACTGAGGCTCTTATTATTTGGGACTAACTTCTTTAAACTTCCTTTCTGATCTTCAGCTGGATACCAATATATTTATGAGCAGCATCTTCTAAGAAGTAGCTCAAAGTTCACAGCTGATAACTGGAAAGCAGCAGACTCATGTTGTCTCTGACTAACAGTTACTATCTGCAGATGTTGGAATATCCAGCAAACATCAAAACATGATGCTGCGTTGCTGTCATACAGATGTCTCGTACTAGCTGGAACAGCTGCTGCTTGCTCTCTGATGGAGTGAAGATACGCACTGGGAAAGGAACACAAGCAAAATGCCTGGCATTATTCATTTGGTAGTGACCGAGTCGAGATGGCTTGACCTTTGGACAACCTCGGTGTGACTAGAGAAAAAAAAACACATAGGGGAATGAACTGATTAATCCTGATGAAATAATTAAAATTCCAGCATGTATAATTAATTTTCTTCCAATACTGAGCGTAGTCTCAGGAACATAACAGGGAAGCTGACTGACTTGGTTGCTTTTAGAGAGGCTATATACACGAGCTCCTTATACTCTGTGCAAGTTCCCAGGAAATTCCTCTCTGGAATACAGCCTAAAGTGACCAGCTACAAACAGCTAGTGTTCATTCTCTGTTGTGGACGAAGCAATAGCTGTCAAGACTATCATCTCCAGAATGGGACAACACAAAATCATATTACTGAAAATTTACATTTATATTCCTTAATATTATGTTCTACATACTAGGAAAATTCTTTTGCAGAACAGTATCTTAAACAAATCAAAACATCAATAAGTTAATCACAAACTGCTGTGCACCTATGTGAGCTGAACCTCAACCTGATAAAAAGTTAGTTAGCTAATTCATTTAATGGCAGTGCAACAGGTCTGTAATTTGACCACCGAGGTCTGGCTAGCAGTCACATTGCATTGAACTATCCAGATGTGGAAATAGTCCACATTCTTCATCTCTCTAATGTGGCTTTCCCTGTTTGGAGGCAACAGCCCCTGTCCATGGTTCTCACACAGCAAACGCTTACGTTACTGGATGTGTCTATTCCTGACCTGGGTGAAGTTTCTGGCCATGGTGCTGCAAGATCAAGCTGAGAGAGAGGGAAGAAGTTCAGTCAAAACCAGTCTGGCAGAGGCTGCCAGGCTGAGGCCATGAAAATGGTAGGTTTGTCTGTTCTCATCTAGGACAGCGTTCTGGAAAATAAGCAACAACTGAGCCCCCATAAAATACAATCTTCTTCCATTGCAAGTTGTCTAAGAAAAAAAAAAAAAAAACACACCTGGCATTTGGTACCATCATTAGCATGACAAACATCTTTTCCAGGAACTTCTGGTAGAAAGAGCATTGTCCCACGACACACCAGTGCAGAGACTTCGTGTTTGGTCATGAACTGCTTCCTCAGCAAACCTGCTAGCACCATGTCAGAGCAAAAGCTCATCAGGGTTATCCCTTCCAATAGCCTCAACTATTACATATGTAACTCGCTTCCTGGAATAGCAACACAAAATAGGCAGTCCAGACATCATATGCATATCTCTCCCTCCCTTATATGCATAGCCAGGTATGAATGCACAGCTGTCAATATGCAGAAGTGAAAACTAGTTTTACTGCACTTAAGAACAAGAAATACAGATCAGTTTGCCAATTAGTCACCTGCCCTATCCTTTCCTCTCCTTCCTCACCAGTAAGACTACCACCCATCATTTTTGTTACAATGAAAAGTATTTATCAGCCATTTTAAATGATTCGCTGTAAACACATTGATCTTACTGTATGTGACTGCTGTCCTCATTCAGCTCGATTACACACATTTGCAGTTCAGGCACACCGTATGACTGCTTCACCTTCAATTTTTATTTCATGCAGTACAAATATACCTGCAAATACATTTCTTTGCACAGAGCAGCACATCTGAGACTATGTTTATTAAAGAGTCATTCTGCTATCTCCAACCTATTTCTTTTATAGTTCTGGCACCCTCACCATCATGCTTTAGTCTAAAAATGGCATTTGAATTAAAAAAAAAAAAAAAAGTCTGGAATAAAAGTGACCCTTGTTGGTGTGTTTCATATTTGTGCTATGAATTATTCACTGTAATGTCTATCAAAATCACAACCATTTTTCAGAACCCTCCCTGGATTAATTCAACATCAGCTTCCATTTCTTCAGACAAGTTAATGGTTATCACAAGAAGCTTTTGCAGCTGCTCATTGTTCACTAGCCTTTTGGCATCACAGAAAACAAAAGCAGAAGTCCATCTACTTGTAAGAATCAGAGAATATAAGCCAGATGAAAAACAGTGGAGATTTACACATTCAAACTGAGATGTCTTCTTTTCATGCTGATTATGTTCTTCTACTGCTTACGCATGCTTGCAGCAATTTTCACTCTTCCTTACTCTGCTTCTCTAAATGTCAATGTTGCTTTTAACATCTTTGAGTAACATGTTTTTCCAAAATTTAATTCAGTTGCAATTCTCCTACTCTTGTTAAGAGACCTCATTGAATCTCTAGCACAAAAAAGCATCTCAAAATGTAAAATTTCTTAAATTTTTTCTCAAACGCTTGGCAAAAATCTAAAACTGTTTCTGGCCCTTCAATCTAGGTATCTCCTGTCAAAGCTGGAATGCTAATTTGTCCTTCCTTTCAAGCTTCATTCTTCTACCAACAGAAGATATTTTAACCATGTATCCCACCACGTTCCCCTCTTCCTACAAGCACACACACTAACTAACAAAAGAAAGCCTTTAAGATGAATTATGCCAAATTTATTTCAGAAAGCACTGTAACACATGGCTATATGCTCTGGCACAAGCACACATCATCTCAGTTTTACACTGCTGCCTTGCCCTTGCTCTTTGGTACCACCACAGGAATGCTCCACATGACATTGTGGGGAGAAGATCAGGTACTCTCTTCCACCTCCTTTTACCTTAATCAGTAGGAAAGCCTTCTCCAGAGGCAAAAAGCTTTGTTCAGTACATTTTTGTGGAATCAAGCTTTCCTGAAAAATACGCAACTAAACAGCAAAATACGCAAGCCTGGAGAGACATTTCACCATCCTCTACCCCAATTCAGCCACAGCCTTGCAAAACAACTCCAGCAGCGTTGCAAAAGCGCTGTGGAAAAGCGTGTGGGTACACACAGCAATGGAAGGTAATTAAGGACCAGCCAGG